GTCTGATTACTTCCCAAAATTTCCAGGATCTCTTTTGCTGCTGCTGAGGGCAATCAACGTTACTCCCTGACCTAATGTAAATGAAGCGTAGTACCTATGATATCACTTGTGATATACTGCTATAAAAATAAGCTGAATGAAGAATCGGGCCCCTTAAGAGTAGATCTACTCCTGCCTTGCCACTTTTCTTTTTCCAAAACCCATTTAAGAGGAAGTGCTTCAGAGAACAAAAAAGACCACAGATCTTTCAGAAACTTCTGCAAGTGTTTGATATTTTTGGTTTTCCCCAAACCCAGCTCTAAAAGTGCAGCGAGGCGTGATATGAGCAGAGAGATGCATTGATTTGCTTTGACCCCATTCACAAGTTTGATTCATACTAGCTGAATGCCCAGTTCAAAATCACCAGTTTGCACATGTGTTTGGCTCCAGATCCAATTTCTGGTTTTCCCCTCATAACGAGACCAAACCAAACTTGGAGTGGACTCATGGGAACATTTGGGTATCAGAAACCAGCTCTAGGATCCCAAATGTTGTGGCTTTTTTTTTTCCTTACCAGCCATGTGATGTCCCCACAGTACTTAGAGTGTGAATTCAGATGCAGCTTTACAATGGGAAGACATAAGCAGCCTCAGAGAGAAGAGGTCTGTGTTTAAAATGACCTTCTCTCTGTTATTTGGTGTCAATACCAAAAGGGATGTGGACAGTGTGATTACACAAGGGTTGAATTATTTTGGGAGTACATTTCTCTTTCCTTTGGGATGTTTTAAAATCAACATGTTGTTAAGTAATCAGATATAGTTATATTCTGAGGAGACTCGGACCTTTCCTGTGGTTAAGCAACAATTAGTTGATTCAGAATGAAAGCTCTTTTTTACTGGATTGTGTCAGTGGTAGGATGCAGCCATGGACACTTTATTTCTCTTGCTGCTTCGTTTTCTGAAGAGGGAAAGCAGGATTATATGTGCTTGCCTTGCATTAGTAAAGAGTAAACCCCCTGCAGCTGTAACACAGTGCCGATATGAAACTCATGCCTGCATGGAGAGCCAGCCAAAGACCTGTGCCTTACCTCAGCCCTGGAGCGTGACGTGTTTCTGCTAGCGGAGACATACCCTGGAGAGTTTATTGGCTCATGGAGGAACGGCGTTATAACGCAGAAATGGGGTGGCTTATACTATGCTTCGCTATGGTCTAGCTCCTCCGATTCACGCGTTCAAAGAGCCTGGGAGGGACCGATCCTCCAGGCAACCCAGACAAGCTTAATGCCACGAATGGGGAAAGTGAGGCGCAGAGAGTGTGTCCTACCACCGGATGGTTCCGCACTGGGGCTGTGCAGAAAACCCGGGCTGCCCTGGTTGCCTGCCTGAAATACAAACGCTTTCTGCTCCTGTAATCCTGGCTTTGGGATCGGGGCTGAGATGAGCAATGCCTGAGAATGGAAAAGCAAATAATCTTTGGGGAATGTCATGTTGTGACAATATCAGACACGGGGAAAAGCCAGGTACCTGCAGGCTGGGGTACCGTCAGGGTCAGGTATGAACGAGAGAAACTGAGAAGCCAACTGGGGAGCTTCAGCTGGGCCCATTAATCAGGTGGCGAGTTGTCCTCATGCACTTGCAGCTTGACAGTGCTTGCAATTCGATTGCTAGTCTGAAACAGAAGCTAGAAAATTACAGAGTGGACTAATACAATGAAATCAGGCTCATCGTTGGCTGGAATAGGAGTCTCTTAGGCACTCTGATTAGAATCTAATATGTAGAAAATACTGTTTAAATCAATTGAACCATTTACAGAGTAAGACATAACTCTGAAAGGTCCGGGGTCCCAATGAAAGCAAGTATGTTAGCTTCGTCTAACAGTGGGACATTATATTCTTTTTGGTTTTCTCTTCCTCTTCATTAATATCGAGCTTGTAGACTATGGATCTTCCCTGTGCCAGGTCAGGACAACAGAGCTGAAACCAGAAACCTGACCACTCTCCCCCAAGTTAGCATGTGATATTTGGCAAGAGTCTAGACTTGTGTGCTGCTTGAGCACTGGAAAGAGGTCATTGCAGCCCAAATATAATTGACAAACAATTTATTTACCTTAATTTCATAGTTAATGCTATTGTACTATCATTTCACTGGACAAATGCTTTGCTTCTGTTATTTTTTCTTCTAAGTTTCTGCCAGCTCTGCCACAGACATGGGCTAGGAGCCCAAAAAGTTCAGTCATGACTCTTTCTTCATTACTACGTGAAAGAAAAATGTGCATGGGGTTTTCTCTTCAAACAGAACACTAGAATTAGTGAATTAGCATTACCAAGATAAAACCCAGCTTGATTGGCACCGGCCCACTCCGCATGGAGGCAGGCATGGGGGTGTTTTCAGAGCCTGGCTCCCTTCAATTGCTTATTGTGTTGAGATTGGCTCATTTGAATTTTTCACAAAGCCACATCTGTTCACCTCTTAAAGATTTAGTCCAGCTTAATATGAATTAGATATATGAAGGTCCTAAGCACAGCTTGCTGGTGTCCTGAGCGTTCCCGCTTCAGAAATGAACTGGAGTTATGAAGCATATGAACACGTTATGAGAAAGAGGAGACACTGCTAACGGGTGTTAGCAGTGACACCAGCCTCCCTTCTTTGCGTGAGCGTAATTGCCAGGAGATTATTAGTGACTTGTCTCTAAACCTGACACCTCTCCCTACCTCTACAGATCCTTTCTGGCCATGGTGACTTTCCTATTTCCCTGCGAGAACTCATGGACCGTTTGAAGACCAGACTAAGGTCTCCCTGGCGTAGCTCCGTTTCTCCCTTACGCAGCCAGGTGCTCACTCCATAGAGGTGGCCCCACAAAGGAAGGCACAAGAACTTCTTCATTGTGTATCGTGACAGATATGTCAGACAGCCCATCCTCTACTCTCCTTTGCTTAGCTGAAGGACCAGTCCTGACGTTCTGGAATTTGTAGGATTTTTTTCTTTTTTTAACCTCAGCTAGAGTTTTGATGTAAGAATTGAATAAAAATTGAAAACGTCTCTCAAGATTTCATCCAAGAAAGGGTGGCAAAAGAGCAAATAATATTCTGTTGTATATCATATTGTCATTGTTTCTTAATATTTATCCTGTTTGGATCACATGGGGAAATGGATCTAATTCACAGCATTCACCCCTATTTTAGCTGTCACCGGTGCAATTCTTAGCAATAATCAATAAAGCCATTCCCCCTGCAGCTGCCTGAGATCGTCGTTTTTCTCATTAGTCAGCAATCAATATCAACCTTTAAGTTAATAATATATTATGGTGGCATTACAGCAGCTGGCCTTGTCTGTCTTTCCGATTGAAATGAACATTAAGGTTCCTTGGAATGGAAAAGAAGGCACAGGGTGGAAATCAATAGCATTGATTTCAGCATCACTTTTTGAAAAGACTGATCATCATCTTTGCTGGCCCTGGCGGGAGGCTATTTTCACTCTTTGTTATTACACTCACAGGCCTGTCTGGGGAAGAAATAAAAAAAAAAAAAAAGAATTGCTTTGATTTGTTCACCTGAAGTCTGCAGTAAGAGTGAATGCCATGGGATAAATGCTCTGTGGCACTCTTGGAGTCACCGTATGGCTTGGAAGGCGCTCTGGCCTTGCGTGTAATTGAAAAATATTTTCTAATGTTTGCTGTAGAAATTGAAAAATCCAGGCCCAAAGACACAGGCTATAAAAATGTTGAGACTTTCTTTTAGCATGCTCTTTAGCTGAGCACCTTAAGACTTTAAAGAGCAACGTTCACAACTGTTGTACGTTGGGTTGGTAGAGGCTAGAGTGTACTCACGGCACTGATGCAAGCCAGCTGAGGAGCTGGCTGGCTTCTCTGTCTCATACACACCCAATTTCAGTTTCAAGTGAGCTGTTCTTTTGTGATGATCCAAAAACACATTGCTGACGGAAAAAATACCTGTCTCATACACACCCAATTTCAGTTTCAAGCGAGCTGTTCTTTTGTGATGATCCAAAAATACATTGCTGACGGAAAAAATATGATATCCTAGTAACGAGTGGCAAATCCTGCCTGCATTTCTTTCTACAAGGTTGTTGAGATTATGCTGCTACTAATGATAGACTCCTGTGCCTTTCTGCTGCACGTCAGGCTCCATTTCATGGACTTTTCTTTTGTGTTCAACAGTGACTACAGGTATGTGGCTGCTGCTCTCGCTGTCATGAGGAACGTGACTCTACAGATCAATGAGCGGAAGCGGAGATTGGCTCCATTTCATGGACTTTTCTTTTGTGTTCAACAGTGACTACAGGTATGTGGCTGCTGCTCTCGCTGTCATGAGGAACGTGACTACAGATCAATGAGCGGAAGTGGAGATTGGAGAACATTGACAAGATAGCTCAGTGGCAGGCCTCCGTTCTGGACTGGGAGGTACAGTAAATGCTCAGCCCTATTTAAGTGCTATAAACCTGGGAGAAATATATTCCATGCAGTTGTTGAATTATCCAAGAACACATAGTTCATCTCACACAAACTAGTCTTGGGATTAAGCTTGGGACAGAGAAGACATATTTACAGACTTTAGAGATGGTACTTAAGATGTAAAACATTAATGGTACTCTGAAGAAAATCTAAGGTCCAGTTCAATTTCATCAATAGAAATCTGGAGTAACTTTTGCGCTTGCAATGCTGTTGTCCTGGGAGTAAGTGAGATTTGGATCAAACTCTATATGCATTCTGGCTCTGTGCTTTGTCATTGGGGAAGAAGCAGAGAAAGAGATAGGAAAAAGCTTTAGAAATTGTGATGCGTTATGAAAATGGAGAAAGCTCTTCTGGTTGTTGCTTTATGATGAGAAGCCAAAACATTAAGCTGAAGTTAGAGATGCTATTTGCACATTTTAAATGAGTACCCACTTAAAGATATTTCTGAACCAACCCTATGTGTAGTGATCGTATAATTAAGGAGCTGAGAAACACAGGGAAGGCAAAGTCAGCAGAGGGATTCCTCACTAGCAGGCCTTCAGTCTCCTACATTTTTGCCATGTGTTTAAAATACAAGCTATAGCTAAATGATGTTTTCCTTTTCTTTTCATTCCTGATTTTTTTAAAAATCATTGTGTGAATGTAATCTGTAAATAGGGTTTTTGAAGCAGACCGAGGACAAATGTGTTTGTAAATCCCTCTCTATGTTGTCATCGATCCATGTGTTTAGCAAGTAGATACTTGAAGTGATGGAACAGCCTTTCTTCTTCCTCACAGTTATGATGATCTGGAATAACTCCACATTCAAGTCCATGAGATCATGCTGTGTAAAGTAGTATATGGGAAAGATGCATTAATCCTTTAATTATTTTTTTTCTGGAAGAGATCTAGGAAGGCTGGGAGGAGAGGGATAGAAATACAGGTGTATCACCTTCTGATTGTGTATCCTCCTTGACTGAATTAGTTTCATTGCTATAATGAAGGTTGGATTCAGCCCTGGATCTCATGGTAAAACATATAAATGCAGCAATCATAGCTGGTTCTTAAATTATGACTGTGGCTGAGAGACCAGAGAATGCAGATGATTTGCTTGATTGTTTTATTGTTGTTTACTGCGAAGAAACTGGTCTCTCACTGACACGCAGACTCATTTTCAGAACTGGAAAACTGCTCTCAAGGAGGCACAGGACCATCAGATACATCTTCAGCCTTCAGTATGTTCCATGTGATGAGCTAATGTGTGTCATTTGTAAGAAATGCCGAGACCGTCATTGTAAATAAATCTAGATTGAGGACGGATCAATTCCAAGTCAGTGAATATTCATGTGTGAGTGGAAAGCCAAGGTGACCTCCACGTAGGATCTATGGAATAGCAGCTTCTTTTTCTCTTTCATTAGCTCAGTTGATAATTCATTTTTATTTAGCTATATCCTTGATAATTAATTCCTGCTTAGCACTACCCGTTCTTTATCTCCATCCTATCCTCAGGCACTTGCCAAATCATTCTTCCAGGCTTTTTTCAACTGTTCCAAATTCTAAGCACAATATTGCAGCTACATCCCGTAGCTTCTCGTAATATAGCAAAACCTGCTGTTGCTGCTGCTCAGAGACTCGATGGGAATACAGCTACTGCCCCCATTCAAAGGAAAACACCCTTCTTGGCATTTTTATTCTGTATTTCGGATAAAGAAGAGTCACAGAGTTGTGATGAGAACACTAGTGGATGACAGCTAGATCCAGCAGTGGACTTCACAGCTTGATTCTTTCCTCTAAAGTAACTTCCGAGTCATCAGATCCAGCCCCCACTTCATAGCTGTCCATGGAATGGCCAGAAGCATGCACAAAAACCAAAATACTCAGAGGTTAACTATAATATAATGCAGGAAGAGAGCGGGAGAAATCAAAAGCAGTGCTTGTGCAGGACAGATGCTTAGATCCGTCCTAGATCCGCTAACCTCCAAAGACCCCACTCAGCTGATGTCCCTCTATAGGACGTGTCTCCCCGGCCACGGGCCATCGGGGTTGATTTCTTATGCCGCCTGTAGGGGTTCAGGCCCTCATCTTCTACACATAGACAGTTACGCAGTAGAAGAGGGATTTCCTGGTATGTCTCCTTAGCCTCTTCCAGTCTGTGGGGAACATGCATTTATTATCTGGGTCAGAGAGTAGACGACCACGACTCCCGGTTCGTCTTTGTGGAGGACGCTCCAGGAGAGCGACCTGCTGTCAACTTTGTGCTTCTACACATGCTTATCCAGTTTGTAGTAAGTACTCACTGAAACCGGGAGAGGAACCCACAGCATTACTCTCCCATCTTTCGGTGGCCCTATGCCTGCTCTCATTAGAGTCTGTACCCAAAAGCGCTCCCTCTGTGTGTCACAGTGGCTTCCTGACCTCTCCAGCCGCACGGCAGTGCGAGCGTGCGATAGCAGCATGGACCCATGTGTGCACAGCACAGCCTTCCTTGAGACAATCTGAAAAAAACCACTAAGGACAAGAAAGCAGGAACTAGGAGAAAATATTACAAGTTCAGATTTTCTTCTGCTAGAAATCGAGCCAGCGCACAAGATAGAGATAATCCCTAATTCCCACTGTACCTTGCACTTGGTGAATTATTTCAGCAGCAGCCAAGGCTAAATGTTTAAGCACGTTGAAATCTTCCATTTGGAGAAATGGTCTGTTTTTCCTCAACATCTCTAGACTAGCAGTGTTGACTCTCTGATTTGAAATTGCATTTTCATTTCTAAATTTACCCGTGTTTTGTGATGAGGTGTTGGAAAAAGATTTTTAAACAAGAAGAAAAAAATCCAAACCAAACAAAAAATATTTACTGAGTGAATATTTGAAATGTCTTGTATACAAAGCATGTGTACACGTTTTCTTGCGAGGAGAGGGTGTTACTGGGAATGTATATATATTGCTGATCCTAAAACAAATAGAAAAAGTAGGTGGCATGTCCTAGCTAATATTTAAGCAGAAGGGATTTTATTGAATCCCATGGAGTTGTGCCTGTGTGTTTCAGGAATCATTTTTATCCCTCAAGATTTTCTGCATGGTCCCGTGAAGGTGAATTTCAGGGTCAGCCTTTGAAAAATGTGAATATCCTTGAGTTACCCAAGGCCAGATTTATTTTTTTTTTCCCCAAGAAGTCACATAAGCAGGGTCTGATGGTTTAAATTGCGAATGGGACCAAGAAAGGGTGGCCTGACTCTAGTAGCAGCTGATAAGCGTGCTGTGGCAGCCAGGACGTGAAGTCTTAAGGAATTATTGGCAGCTTTGGCAGCTTTATACAAGTAATGACTGAGCAGAATCTTAAGGGAAGATTCTGATCTCACTGACTGCTGTAAATTAGAAATAATCCAAATCACGTTGAAATGTGTTCCTGTATAATTTGTAGGAATGTGGTCTTGACCAAAAAGCCTGGATTGGACTGTTGCCGTGTATGACTCACTTCTTTATTTTGTACCCTGAATTTCCAATATATAAACAGACCTAGAGAGGTGCTGCCCCTGCCTCCACCGAATTCTCTAGTGCCTTTTGTCCTTTCAGTTGTTAATGGCACAGAATGTAGGGCTTCCACCACCTCCCGCCGAGACCTTTCGACGTCTGAGAGCTCTCCTCGTTATGAAGTGTTTCCTGATGTTCAACCTCTCTATCCCTTCGCTCACTGTCATCCCCCTACTTGTAGTTAAATACCCTCAGATTAAAACAGTGACATTTAAAGGCAGGGAGGCGAAGCCGGCACACAAAGTTAGCTGGAGCGGGCTCGGAACAGCCTGTGAAGTCTCCTCGGGATCAGACTTCAAACAGGCCAGACAGAGCCCGTCCTGGGCAGCCTGTACGCGCTCAGTCCCTTCTTGGGCTCTTGCCCTCAGAGAGAGTTACAGATCTCAAAGGTTAGTGGGTAATATCCAGATATGTACACACACCAGTACTATAAAGAGGTTATTTCCACAAAGCCCATCATCATTTCTAAGTCGTTGCAAGCCCCAGTTTGGGCAGTGCTGTAGTTACAGGCACGCAAATGAGGCAGCGGGAGTGAAGGAGCGGTACGTCCCTGCCGTCCTCTC